ACAAAACTAATAACATACTACATATCACCAAAACACACACACAACTCAAAACCAAAACAATACACCTTACATCTATCCCCAACCCTTCTCTCCCCTCCCCCAAACCACCCACGCATCACCCACCCCTCCATCCTCCCATCTCTCAGCCACCCATCCACACAATCGACAGCACAACCCGCCAAGCCCCAAACAACCCCCTTGTCTGAAACCACCCAACTTCCCCTCCTCCTCCCTTCGTCTTTCTTCCGTCCTCCCTCCGTCTCACCCCAGTATCGAAACCGAGTCTCAGCCCCGTCTCAGCCATCAATTGACCCTTGCGACCCAGCTACCTACCTAACCGCCACACCCCTCATACCCAGCAAATAGGGATTAAGCGGCCCAAGCATCAAACCAAGTTTTTCCTGCAAGAAAATAAATAAAATCCCGGACAAGCATTGTATGTATTGTGGGTACGGTATGCAAGACTCGAGACAAGCGTTGAGACAGTTCGGGTAGAGTGTGGAGTGCAGATAGGGACATGCGCACATACTACCATCTCCATCTCACACGCACACACAACCCTAGTCCAGCTCGAAATTCAAACTTCAAAATTAAAAAAAAACCCTCTTTCCATTCATTTGCTTTGCACCAGTTAACCCACACCGCATACCCGCTTTTATTTGCCCTTTTGCCTGAGCAACAATCTCCCTCTGACCCGAGATGGTAAGAAGATAGATAGTACAACCAAGATCCCCAAAATCAACCCAACAGCGCAACATCCAGCCCAATCGCCGTCATGAACAGATTCACATTGGCCAAGCGCGGCCCCGCCATCTCCGCCGGCAACGCCTTGCTCACCGACACCGTCTCCATGACGCGATCCTTGACACCCAGTACAAGCCGCTGCTGCTGCTCAGGACTGGCGCAGAGCCCCATGGCCGCCAAAAACTGCCAAATGTACTTGTCGTCCGTGTCGTTGATGGAGCCCGGGAAGATCCAGGGCAGGACGGGCTCGATGGTGTCGAAGAGGCGGGTGTAGAGCTCGGTCCACTGCTGCCAGTCGGCGTCGGCGGCGTCGGAGCCGGATTGGCGGAGAATTTCGGCGCGCGAGATGAGGCAGGTGAGGAGCTGGAGGCCGATTTTGGAGCGCGCGGCTAGGTGGAGGTTGGTGCGGTCGAGCATGAGGCCGACGAGGCCGATGATGATATTGAGGGGGGACTCGTTGATGTGGGTGGAGATGGGGGGGAGGACGGCGAGGGAGAAGAGCTCAATTTCCTCGCGGATGGCGGCAGGTAGTGGCTCCTCTGGAGTGGCGATGCCATGGCTGACGACGGAGAGGTTGTCGAGGTGGACTACAATCATGGTGACCACGGTGATGCGCTCTTGCTCGTCAATGTGTCGGAACAGGCGAGGAATCGCTTTCTTTCCTTTTGCGTGCGACAGTATCGAGACAAAAGGATGTGGTGTTGTGGCACTGTCGCCTGTTAGCAGACTTCACCGTGATGTGGCACTGGATACTTACTTGGGGTTGATTGGCTCCATGATCCGGGTGTTCGTCCAGAGTTGTTTATGGAGGGCATCAATCTTGGACCGCCACTCCATGTGAGCCTGTATCGCTTCTGGTGGGCTGTTCTCGTGAATGGGCGGCGGCAGAGCTCGCTCATGGTCTTCCATCTGCAAGAGGGTGAAGTAGATTTTTTCAATGTTGCGCAGCGCCTCCTTGCGATCCGCAATCGAGACCTTGTGGTGCTTGGGAAGCTTATCATTGGTCTCTGGTCGCTTCAGATTGAGCAATGGCCTCGGCGTCTTGGAATTGCTGAAGGCAATCTTTCCCAGGCTGCCTTCCATGACAAGCTGTCGGGCTTTTGGCCTTGCCTTGGCAGCCTCGACCGCACGCTGAATCTGTTGCTCCATGCGCTGCATGTGGTTGTCGCCACCTCGTCCATTTCTCCGAGCACCAAACCTGTTGTTGGTCTGGAACAAGTACGTCTGGGCAAAGGTGTTGGCCGGCTGCTGGGGATTCTGGCGCGGTGCACCTCGGATCTGACTGAAGACTTGATAGTAAAAGTCTTCTGCAATGGCCGCCTCTGGACCCTTTTCGTCGAGGTTACCAGTGGCTGTCATCAGTTGCTGCAACTGAATACGGGTGATGAAGTTCTTGTCTTGGGGAGTCATGAGGCCATTGTCTTTTGCAAGCAAGGCAATCTTATGATTCCGCTTGGCTCGCTTGGCATCTTCCTCAAGGAAGGCCGCTCGCTCTGCGTCGGAGAGATGAAGTAGCTGTTCGGGATGGGTGATGACCATGCCCGGGAAAGACGGGCCCCTGTTGTGAGCTAGGGCTGGTCCACGCTGTCCTTGCGAACCTGGCGCCATTGGCTGTCCTTGACCAGCGAGACGGTTCGGGTTCTGTAAGATCTGTCGAGGCTGCGAGGGTGGACCTTGGGGCTGGACTTGGGGCGATCCTTGCCGTTGTTGCTGAGCATTGGGTTCGATCGACTGTGGTCTTTGTCGCTGTAGGATTGTAGGCTGTTGTGGTGGCTGGCTGGAGACGGGCTGTGCCGGGAGCTCAGCACGAGCTTGCTGTTGCCTAGGAGCCTGCTGTTGTTGCTGTTGCTGTTGCTGCTGCTGAGGCCTTTGGAGAATCTGGGGCGCATACTGGCCGGGCATACTGGGCATTCCAGGCATACCAGGTGGGCCCGACATGGCGGGCAAACCAGACATGCCAGGAGGGCCACCGTGCATACCTGGGAAAGGCTGCTGCTGCTGCTGATGGTACATGTGAGGAGGCATGCCCGGTGGTGGTCCATGATAGTATTGAGGGGCACCTCTTGGGGGCTCATTGCTGATGCTTTGAGCACGCATCATGGCCTCGACCTCGTCCAAGCTCATCAGCTTCTTGGCCTGCGATGGCTGTTGCGGGGTACTCTGGGGCTCGGGTGCTCGCTGTTGGGCGGGCTGCTGGGCGGGCTGCTTTGGCTTCAGACCCCAAATGTCTGCGCGGGCCTCCAACTGCGGAATATACTCGGGGTCCTTGTAGCTTTCATAGCCGCTTCTGTTGGGCTTCGAGGCCTGAGGGACAGGTGGGCGCTGTTGTTGGGCTGGCCGTTGGCGGGCCTGGTAGAGCATCTGCTCCTCCTGCAGCGTGCTCTGGACCTGCGACGTCTGGCCGGCAAAGTCGAAATCTTTGCCAATCGACTGCTGCGTGGCCGGGCCCTGGCCAAAGGTGTCGTCGTTGAGGGCGTCATCGGCGTCATCGAGGGCATCGCCCAGGCCGTCGTAGGTCTCGTCGAAGTCGATGCTTTGAGGGTGGGTTAGTCAATGAGGTTTCTCGGCCATGCCATGCCATGCCATGAGCTGGCGCAACCTACGCATCGTCATCGGCAGCTGCTTCGCCGAGGGCAGCAAAGGCGTCGTGCTGACTGAAGCCGGGCGCATTGGCGGAGTGGCCACGGTCCCTGGGCAGATTCGTATCGAAGCCAAAAAAAGACATGGTGGGTGGTCGGCTCGGGAGTGTCAGGGCGCACCCGGTCGCAGTCGTGATTGTGGGCGTGGGCGTGGGCGTGCGCGCTGGGTGGTGAGGGTTGAGTAAAAGACAAGGGCAAAGTGGAGTAATTTTCTGGGTAGATGGTGAAGGCGCGAAGCAACTAGGCGAGGCGGGGGCGACAGATGCTTTTGATGCTGGTTGCTGGCGATGAGGGTGGGAGTGGTGGCGGTGCGGGCACGGGTGCGCGGGGGAGAAATGAAGCGTGGGCTGGTGCTGGCCTCTTGCCGCCTGCTCGGCCAGAAGAAAGAAAGCGGGACAGGAGGAGTACGACGGAGAGGTCGTCTGGCGTGTGTGTGTTGCTGGCGTGATCCTAGAGACACAGCCACACACGCAGGATAGTGCAGGTGTGCAAGAACAGAGAACAATGGACGCTGCTGCCTATGTTGTGGGTGGCGGCGAAGGGTAACGATGATGATGGTGGTGGTGGTGGTGGTACTGCGGAGGTTGGAGAGTCGCGCCGTCTTTTGCCAGCCCAATGGGTGCCCCGTACTCTTCTTCCTCGGGCACGTCGATGGATGATGATGGGATGAGATTGCAATGATACACATTCAAACAGTACTCTACCACGAATTTCACAACACAGCGGCAAGCTCCGTGTGCACAAGTCCTGTTGCCCCTACTCTACTCTACAGTACATACATACTCACTACTACACCGTACTCTTCTTATAGGACAGCCATCCATGTCCCAACGGCTGGCAGCCGGCTTGACTGGCTTCCTGGCCTGGCTCATTCGGCTTACTGGCTGGCCCTCCTCCGAATCAGCGCCAGACGTATAGAGTACGAAAGGCTAAGACATGGGCACCTGTGACGGACGACTAAGGAAGGGTAGAGCAGAGCAGGGACTATAGACTAGAGTAGAGTTAGGCTACTGTACAAACAACCACCTCCCCTCCGCTCCCTTCTCCTTTTCCCAATTGCCCGCGCCCTCTTCTTTCGGAATCAAGAATTGAACCCAACCAATTCTCTCCTCCCCTCCTCCCCGTCTTCCATCCTCCCCCAACTCCTTCGCCACTCATTTGTACAACACAAGACAGACTCCGACTGCGCAAGGCCCATGGTTCGCGTCCATCCTCCATTCGCTTCCACGTAACCCCCCGCCCCCCACCCATCCCTTGGGTCCCCACGAATCCGCTTGCTGCTCGTTGGTTCACCACCAACCTTGACTTTTGTCTGGCCTTGCCTCTCCCTCCCTCCCTAGTCGCAACGCAACGTACACTACAATCCACAACTCACCCACAACGCCAAAGTGGACCCCGAAACCACACATAAGAAATCAGACTCTATTGCAACCCGGCCGCCAGACAGATCAGCCATGGCCGGCAGTCAGCGCTATCTCCGCTACATTGTCTTTGCCCTCGTGGTACGACGTCTTGCCTGCCACACACCCTGATTTTCACCCTGCTGACTCTCTCCCTCTCTCTCTCTCTCTGTACAGGCACTCGTCCTCCTCTACTTCATCAGCTCGTCTTCGTCGGTGCCTGCCACCTCATGGCCCACCTACTCAGACGCCTTGACTGGTGCTGCTACACCCGGTAAACCGAATGCTGCTCCCGTAGATGTCTCCGCTCCTGTTCCAGGCAACGATGTGAAGCAGCAACCCGCGGCCCCAACCACCCCCAAGCCCCCCAAGCAGCTCCCTCCTGCCTCCGCACCCGGCTCGCGCATGAACGCCACCTTTGTCACCCTCGCCCGCAACTCGGATGTCTGGGAAATCGCAAAGTCGATTCGTCAAGTCGAGGACCGCTTCAACCGCAAATTCAACTACGACTGGGTCTTCCTCAACGATGACGACTTCAGCGACGAGTTTAAAAAGGTGACAAGCGCGCTGGTGTCTGGCAAGACCAAGTACGGAAAGATCCCCAAGGAGCATTGGTCCTTCCCCGAATGGATTGACCAGGACAAGGCTGCCAGGGTACGCGAGGAAATGAAGGAGAAGAAGATCATCTATGGCGATTCCATCAGCTACAGGCACATGTGTCGCTACGAGTCGGGCTTCTTCTTCCGCCACCCATTGATGCTCGACTACGAGTGGTACTGGCGCGTCGAGCCCAGCGTCGAGCTGTACTGCGACATCAACTACGATACCTTCAAGTTCATGGCCGACAACAACAAAAAGTACAGCTTCACCCTCAGTCTGTACGAGTATGTCGAGACCATTCCGACGCTCTGGGACGCCACCAAGAACTTCACCAAGCACTACCCCCAGCACGTGGCCAAGGACAATGGCATGAAGTTCCTCAGCGACGACGGTGGCGAAACCTACAACCACTGCCATTTCTGGTCTAACTTTGAGATTGGCAACCTCAACTGGCTCCGCTCCGACGCCTACATTGACTTCTTCAACTCTCTCGACCACGCCGGCGGCTTCTTCTACGAGCGATGGGGTGATGCGCCCGTCCACTCCATTGCCGCCGGCTTGATGCTGCCCAAGGACCAAATCCACTTCTTCAACGACATTGCCTACTACCACGTCCCCTTTACCCACTGCCCGACTGGCGAAGAGTACCGTCTCGAGCACAAATGCCATTGCAACCCCAAGGAAAACTTTGACTGGAATGGTTACAGCTGTAGGTTCCTCTGCATCTCTCCAATCAACGTCATGTACTAACCTTTTTGCCAGGCACAGCACGCTTCTACGAAATGCAAGGCATGCAGAAGCCCATGGGGTACGAAAAAGAGCAGAACAAGTAGACATTTGGTCCAACTAGGCTTCGCAATCATCCAGCTTTTTCTCTTCTCCACTCGACCAAAGATGTGTCCCAATTCTTCTCTCTCCGCTCTCAAGTCCACTGCTTCCCGCGCCACAGAAAGAAGAGGCTTGTGCTCCAGAACATCACTCTAGCGCCTTGTTACGATTCACTTTTTCACTCCCCCAGGAACACATTCTCCTTGGCCTTTCCCCCTCAAAACATCCATGCCATCCAAAAGCCCGGAAAACTAATATCAATGCCACTTGCTCTTTTTTCCCTTCTTTTCGTCCTTGCTTTTCTTCCTGGTCTTTTGTCCCCTCTTCAATTTGAATTTTTGCTTTTTTTCTTGCCTGCTTAAGGCTCTTTTTAGGGATTCGCTTCGTTTACGGGTGCTTTGGGAGGGACCGTTTTGGGTTTTGTGATTTTGTGATAAAATAGGGGGGTTTTATGTTTATGTTTCAGGGTTTGGAGTTTGGATTAGAGGGATAGTTGGGGAGGTGGGATGAGGTGGTGGTGGGGTTTTTGGTAGCGTTCTGTGTGGATGTGGATATGGGTGTCGGACATGAAAGTGTCTGTCACTGTGACTGTAGTGTAAAAGTGTAACACGGAAATGCGGATATGTTGGTATACGGCTATGCTAGGCTACGTTTTGACCTCTTCCAAATCCCCCAGATTTTTTGGGAAAATAGGGGGTTAGGTGGTAGGCGGGCAAGTGGGTGGTGGTGCGGGATTTTGGTAGATGAATGGAGATGTTTGTGGAGGATTGATGTTGATGATGTCTGTGTAGTTGGAGCATCTATTAGGGCGTCGTGGGGGGATGGGGGTGGTTGAGAGATGGGTTGGTTGTACTGGTGGTGGACTTGGTATTACTACTGTTACGAGCGGTATGTAACAATGAGGCAGAATTGCTCGCCCATTGTTCCATGCCGAGTCAGGCCTGACAAAGGCCCGACTCACTAATATATATAGAGAGCAGCTCGCCTATATTAGAATAGGCATGTTCTTGTTATCCTTTTATACAAGACCTATAGGTGTAGGAATCTTATCCTTTTCTATATAGACGCGCACTCCTATATACCTTTAAGTTATATAGGATACCTTTTAGATACCCTACTTACTTATATTATTATATTATAAGAAGAATATTATCCTAGCTAGTACTAGTATTTAAGAATATTGCATGTATTATTATTTTAAGCTACTAATTTAGTTCTAGTAGTAGTCTAACCCTATAACTCTATAGTTAGAATAGCTATTAGAACTTCTAATAACTAAAGCCTATAGGCTTAGACTTCTAGACTACTAGGTAGCACTAGATTACCTTTAGAAAAATCGTGTTAGATTATATTAAGGTAGAGACTTAAAGACTACTAAATGTAACAATCCTATCGTAAAGACACCTTATAGTGTTCTAGTTAATTAGGCGCATCCCTAGTTAGGTTTAGTGCCTTGGCGACTAAGGTGCGTAAAACCTGCGCTTCGCGCGGGGTTTTAGGAGGACAAGTATTATTCTTGTGTTAATACTATACTAATAGCTATCTCTACACTATTTTATCTAGTATAAAGTAAATACTATTACCTATAACTAGAACCTTATATAATAATACTTCTTATTTAAATAGTCTAGAGATAGCTCTATCTACACGCGTAAATAGCTAAGGGGTACTACTAGTAAAAATATAATAACCCTCTATTAAACTATAACTAAGGGAAGAACTAGTAAGTAGTTCCCCCTTTAGTAAAGAGTAATAAACCCCTATATTAGACGCACCCTTAACGCTTAATAAGTGTATCTAAGCTACCTAAAGGAAATATAATAAACTCTAGAAACTATAACACCTATATAAACTAGAGGCTAAAATTCTATACCTTAAAAACCTAGAAAGGGACGCTACCCTAGACCTAATAAGGAGTATAGTAGAGGATATCCCTAAAACCCTTAATAATATATATAAGTAGGGTGTATCTAGGACGCTAATGCCTCTATATTTAAAGCGTATACTAAAACTAAAGGATCTATTAGAATATAAGGGAAAAAACCTTAAGGAATATTATAAATTCTTTTACTCTTATAAGGGAGCTTTTCTACTATTACTATAGACTTTCTACTATAATAAGGATAAGGTTCTTTAGGCTATATAGTACTTAGTAGGAGACCTATAAGAATTATTGTTGCAGGAGGGATATCAACTAGATCACGGAGCATCTTGATCCCAATCAATCCTAATTAATCCTGGTCAATACCCCTGTATAACCCACTATCTGATCAACTGCTAGCTTACTGCCAAGTGCCTAACAAAAAGCAGGAGCTCTAGTAAGGAAGGTTTACCAATTATTCACCCTCTAGTAAGGGTAGCTAAAGCTCTATATATATAAGTCTAATCGTAGTAGATATAATCTAATAATCTATCTCCTAAATTATTCCTAACCTTAGTAATCTAAACTTCTATAGTTATAAGCCTAGTTCGCGCTTTACCTTATTAAAGATCGTCCTATCTATTTAAGCGTATTGTTTAACTTAGACACTAAGCTAGCAAGCTTTACTCTTTATACTATTTCTTAAGCAGAAGCTTACTTATTACTCTTCTACTATAAGCAACTAAATCCTAAAGGGGGATATCCTACTTACTAGATTAACCAATTAGCCCACCTAGTATATTTAATTTAGATACCATGCCCTAACTAAAGGGATCTAGGTAGAGGTAGACCCTAAGGCTCTAGATACTAAAAACTACTTTAAGAATAAACCTATTAAGCCTAACATGCTAATAGATATCGCGCTATCTAATATAATAAGCAAGCAGTACAAACTCTAAATAGTATAGTACTAAGCTTGCTTATTAGACTAGGTATTAAAGTTATTAGTAATCTAGAACCTCTTTATATAGGTTAACAATATAGTAGATTAAGGGATCCTTACCCTAGCCTATATAGAGCTTATTAATTAAGGAAGAGTAACCCTCTAAGCACTAATCTAAGTGCTCTGCAATAACCTAGCGCTAACTAACTTAAGCGCTGTAACACTAGCGAGATTATAGTACAAAGCTTATCTTGCTAAGGTAAAGATAAGTAGCTAAGACGCTAATTACTAGTAGAAGGAGTAGATAATCCTATATACGTAAGCTAAGGTATATAACGTTCCTAATATTAAAGGACAGCTTATAGTACAGGATTATCTTAAAGCTCTATCTACTAGGATCTTACTAGATTAGGGTTAAACTATATTTTAAAGGATTATTAAAAAGTTAGTAATAGGAGAGCTAACTTATAACCTCCCACAGGTTGCTAAGATCTATTTATTACTGCTCTAAGAAAACAACATAAGATTAAGCTCTAAGGGTCCTAGAGTGTTTGCAACATTAGGAGCTCCACCTTCTAATTAACCTAAGAAGGAGTCTTTATGCCTATGCAGTAGATCTTACCTATAGAAACCTCCTAAATGCAAAAACGTTATTAAAGCTTAGACTAATACAGGTAACAAGCTTACTACTACTTAATAATTAGAGATTAAGAAAAAGATTAATAGGAATCTAAAATTTAAAGAGTTAAGAAAAGCTCTAATTAAGTCCTATTCTAATAATTAAGATTATAGTAGTAAGGCAAGCGCGATTACCTATCTAGGCAGTATCTAGGTAGCACTAATTAACCCTATATTAATAGCAGAGAAAACAAACAGGATCTATTTAACTATAGACTTTAAAGCTTACGCTCTATTAAAGAGCACTATCTTTAATAATAGGGGTGCAGTACACCTAGTTAATAATATAAGCTACCTAGAAGAAAGCTTATTTAGATTAGTTAAATATAAGACAGTTAAAGTAGGAACTTAAGCTTTTCTAATCTTAGGTAGAGGGACTAGAGTAATCCCTAATACTCTTAATAGACCAAGAGGTCCAAAAATAGAAGATTTAGTGCTTACTAATATAGTGTTAGTAGAAGGATTTTATGTAAATATTGTATTAGAAGCTTAATTGCTTAAAGCAGGAGTTTAGTTCCTTAGGCTAGATGCTACCTTGCAGTTTAGATTATTAGAGAAGAGCGTTATATTAGCTAAGTTACTACGCAAGTTTAACTTAACTTTCCTAGAATATAAGCCCTCTACCCCTTATTAAATAATCTAAAGCATGGTGCCTAAACAACCCTAACAATCCTAGACAACTTACCTAAGACACGATAGTAAGGAGCTTTAGCACTAATAATTAGGCTATTTAGGACCTAAGGCGCTTAAAGCTCTAGTTAAGTTAGCTATAAACGTTAGGATTAAAGGAACTCCTAGGAGCAAATACAAGCACTACGCTATTACACATGCCTAACAGGTTATATTAAGATAACTAAGGGAAAGATTACTACATCTATACTACTAGGTATTATAGGATCTATTTAATATACTAATAAGTATAGCTTACAAGTAATAGATCTTAGTATTAAAGTATAACTACTTAGGAAAGCTTTATACCTATCTACTACAAGCTAAAAACCTTAATAAAATTATGCAGGTGTTTAAAAATTTTAAGAGCTTAATACTTAACTAATATAAGCTTAGCATAGTTAAGATTATACAAGATAACAACGTTGTAACGCTCCCTTAGCGTGGCAAATCTTGCTTTTAGATCTAGGTAGCTAATAATAGTATTAAAATTAAGAGCTTACCTGTATATACCTATAAACCTAATAGAGGAGTAGAAAGAGTAGGGCAGGAGATTATAACAAAATTAATTAAAATAAGGATTAGTGCTAACCTACTAATAAAGCTCTAGCCTAAAATTATTAAAGCAGCGACTTAGCTCTATAATATAAGCCTATCCTATGCTTATAATATAATATCACCTAATAAAGTGCTAGATTATTAGTTTACTAGATACTTTAGGTAGTGGCAACTAGAGCAGATTAGGGAGGCAACTACTAATCTCTGCCCTAATTAGAGCAGAATATACGCCTATAGCTGTCAAGCTTACCCCCTTAACAGAGATTAAGTAGCCAGGCGTTACAAGAGGGTTTTTA